TAAGTTGGTTGGCTTGTTCGTCTGTTTGCTTGATTGAATGGCCTGGTGATTGGTCTGTCGGTTACCTGATTAGTTGGCTGGCTGGTTGGTTAGTTGATTGCTTAGTTTGTTGATTGGTCTGTTGTTTGCTTGGTTGCTTTATTGGTAGGTTGGATGGTCCGTTGATTGGATGCTTAATTGGTCTCTCGGTTATTCGATTTGTTGTTTGGTTGGTTAGTTGATTGCCTTGTTCGTTTGGTTGCTCGAGTGGTCGTTTGGATAGTTAATTGATTGATCGGTTGGTTGCTTCGTTTGCTTGCTTGCTTAATTTATTGCGCTTGACTATTTATTTTATCGATTCTGTGGTTGGTTTTCGCGGTCAAGTGTTTCCTTACATTTTTCTCCAATCACGCTACGCCTCGCTCCTACCACGTCTGTCTCGGCGCGAGTGTGACAAGTTGATGCTCGGACAAGCTGACCGGCTTACGTCTCTGCTGGCTGCGAACCGTGACTTGTGCGAAGCCTTTCCTTTGGCTAAGTTGCGTCCCCTTGCCTTCCGTTGTCTACTTTGCTTCGCCGTCGCCGTCGCCGTCGCCGTCGTGTCGGCGTCAGTGACTGAATTGGGCAAATGGTCGTGTTCGGTCGCGTCGAGGCGACCAGTCCCTTCGGTTGCCTACGACGGCCGGTCTCGCGATTCGACCGAGGCCGGTGGCAGGCCACACTGACCGTGTCGGCGACTGGCTGATGCCAGCGCTCCGCTCCTCCGCACCGCACCGCACCGCAACGCAACCCACCACTTTTCCCACCTCTCCTCGCCTCCTCTTGCATGATCTACACACTTTCCCAGTCGCCGACCGCTTCTCCAGCTCCAGCTCCACCTCCACTCGACCAGATCCGATCCGATCCAACTCGACTCGTACAGCAAGTTAGCCGAGTCGTGTCCATCTGCCCGTCAGCTTCTAATTTGCCTCTTTGTCGGTCTGTCTTTCTGGCCTCGGCCGCCGGTTCAGCCAGCCTCAGACAAGCATCCTTCTGCGTCTCCGTCGCCTCGGCTACAGCCTTGCCGTCCCGCATCGCATTCAGGCAACCAGCCAAGCCGACCAACACATCGACCGACTAACCAACTAACCAACCGACTGGCCAACTCATCAAACCAACAAACCAACAACTAAAAACATTACGAACAAACAAGTGACAAATATGCACACGAGCAAAAAAGGGAAAAAACTAACAGACAAGCAACCGAGCATCTAAAGCCAGACATTAAATTAACCATCCAACTATTTACAAGTTCAACCAAATTCCCAAACGTGTGTGTATAAAAAAATTGACCAATCAGATAGCTAATCAGTTATTGGTACGGCCGGCAAGCAGTACGATCGACCGACCAAACGATCGGTCAAATAAATAAATATCTTTTAAATCAATAAACAATCAAGCATTCCATTCAACATGGGGGCAGAAACTTTAACTAATATAACCATTTGAGAAAATAGCCAGTCTGGCATGCGAATGCCGCAAGAAACAAACATCATTAAACCTTCCGGCAAAAGTTCAATTCAATTAACCCGAAACCGTCCAATAAGCAACAAAATAACAAACCATTTGTTTCGTTTTTTAAGTAGATTTCAGAGACAAAATATGCATCACACAACTTTGTACACTCTTGCTGGGTCAGTGTGATGAAGTGCCCACGATTGTATGAGAATGCACCAACTGTACATTCAATCTCACACAACCTTTGCCCCCTGGCTACAGTGAACTTCAATTTCGATCTCGTACGAACTGGTCTCATCAGCACCACCAGCAGAACTCGAACCCGGATTTTTTTGTTGCTTCGTCATTGACCTTTAGGCGACTGCCCCCAATTGCTTTTGGTCACGGTGTGGAGAAGACTTAGGCGAAGTGGAAATCGGAGTGAAAATGTCAGTTTGCAAGCAGACCTTATGTGAAGCATGACGCCTATTCATATCACTGTGTGAAAAATTTAATTTAATTTCTTTCATTATGCTAAACAAAATAAAACGATTACAGCTAATAACCAAAAACCTTAATTTGTATAGCAATTCGAAAATATCATATTTTGGCACTTGCATTTTCCACAATCGTATGAGTACTTTAGGAAAGTTCATGCATTTTCGCATATCACCTATTTTGACA